CCTTAGAACCTAAGCCACCGTTACACAAAGGGCCGGTATAGTCCGCCTCCAGCCCCAAGCTTATCAATCCCCCAATCTTGCTAGCCAGCGACTTCTTGCCCTCCACAGCAGCCCATATCTTGTCCTTCACGGCAAATTCCATCTGGAAATGAAGTAGCCAGCTTGTCAAACGGGTCGACTCATCCAACACGCTGAGCTGCGGATCAGGACCCAGCGTGATTTCCACATCTACGTTGTGACCCGAGCCGTGGGCAGGAATTCTCACAACCAGACCTGGCGTGTCTGGCACATCTTCCACGTGAATTTTGCAAGCAGTAACTACACCAGCTGCGCGCACTACAAGCGCAGGCGGAATCGTCATGACAGAGAGGAATTTGAATTCCCACGCCTTTGTAGATTCGGATACGCTCAGACGTCCCGTGGATTGTTTGTACTCGAGTTTGATCTTGCGGTACTCTACAGAATCGCCATTTGCTGGACTCGGTTTGGCACCAGCATCGTCGTCTGGATTCTCTAGGATGGTGAAGTCGCCGTCTTTCCCAACAACAATGATAACTCGGAGACAAGTCGGATTCAAACACCCGTTCTCTGGGAACACTTCTGCCTCAAGAGGAATGATTGATCCCTCGGGCGCGAGAACGGGAATCGTCTCGATCGAGCGGTACATTAGCATTTCTCGGTCGCCGTCGTAGACTGCCCCCGTGAAGATATCTACGTGCCGGCCTGGCGGGACCCAGACGTTGGCGCTGGCAAGGTTTGTGTCTGGATTTCTCGGCTCAACAATCGGCGCGACGACCAAGTGCGGCCCGAAGAAATATTCGTTGGGCTTCTCATATGCTTCACCACGAGTCGGATATCCCCAGTACAACGGTCGGACGAGAGGTTCAGCGCCGCCGAGGAGATTCGCCGTATGCAGGTAGGGAACCATTCTGTGTCGGAACTGCATAAATCCCTTCATTGCATAGTAGTGTTCTGCGCGGAAATTCCACGGCTCCTTGGACGTCCACTGGCTGTTGGAAGAGTGCAGCCGGAATATTGGTGAGAACACGCCATATTGAACCCATCGAGTGGCCATCTCGTCGTCCCGAATACCACCCATGTGGCCGCCGATGTCATGACTCCACCATCCGTAGCCAATATTAGAAGCGGTAGCTGTGAATTCGGGCTGGAACTGGAGCGATTCCCATGTTCGAATGGAATCTCCCGAAAAGCCGACTGGGTATCGGTGGCTACCTGGCCCTGCATATCGAGAGAATATGATGCCCTTTCCTTCGCCATTTTGGTTGATGTGGTCCTGGAAGTGGAAATGATTCAATAGCCAGAGCGGATCGAGGCTGGGAATTCGAGAGATGGGGCCTTGCTGCCAGTCGATCCACCAGAAATCGCAGGCTTCTTTCTCAATACTGCGATGGAGAACATTCAGAAAGGCATCCATGAATTTCGGATCAGTGGGGTTGAATAAAATTGGTGCCTTTTTGGATGTATCGTGTCCAATGGCCTTGGCCATGGTCTCGTACAAGTGCTCGTGATGGTGAACACCGCCGTGAGGATGGTCATTCAACGTGATTTTCAAACCACGATCATGAAGGGCCTTTCCAAACCCAGGAGGATCAGGGAAGAGTTCTTTGTTCCAGCTATACCCTGTCCAGCCAGCGTGCGGGATATGATCGCCCTTGACTTGATGCCAGTCCATGTCCACGACGGCAACAGACAGAGGGATATCACGATCCGCAAACGCATCCATGAGTTGGATGTACTCACCTGCCGAATACGGATGATATCTACTCCACCAATTTCCCAATGCCCAACGTGGCAGAGCAGGTTGGCGGCCAGAAATATCATAAAACGCCTTCATAGCGCCTTTGTAATCGTGTCCGTAGACAAACATGTATCCATCGATACGGTCACCGCTTCTTCTAGGTGCGATGAAACCCTGCCTGTCAAAGAGCATGGTGTCGCTATCGTCAAGCGTGGCAAACCCTGAACGCGACAAAATACCCTCGCCCATGTCACAACGCCCATCGACTTCATCGAGTGTTCTAGCCGTACCGCCGAGGTTATCCTTTGCCGTCTCGCCATAGTGCCAGTCTGCCCCCCAAAGCGTAACTTTACTGGGGAATCCAATTACGAAACCGCTTCGACTGAACCGTCTCTTGTCATATGTGATGTGGAAGTTGCGAGCAACCACCTCGATGTGCTTCTCGGTGTCGGTGACGGTGAACTCTGGCGGGGTAAAGTTGCGGTTGACGGCAAAGGCCGAGGCACGGTCCTCAAAGACGCCATCTTCCGCCCATTCATATCGTAAAACTGTCTCGCTAAGGAGTGTGAAGCGGTATGTAGGGCCTGATACCACCGCCGCCGGATTTGCGAGGGGGTCGCAAGGAAATGCATATTTATCCATGGTGGTCGCGATTGGTACTTGCAAGAAGATGGGAAGTTCGGCCACCACCAGCTTCGAGGCTTACAAAAATCAAAAAGACTGGTATTATGACGAGGGATTGTGACAAGGGAATTGCCGAAAACCGGAACCATCGTTGTCTCTTGCAAAGGAGGAATGTTTATGCTCCAAGTGACCTGCTGAGCTTTCATGAATAACCAGCCCCCTTGGGGTTCGGCACTTGAAGTGGCGCTTGGAGTCAAGTGGCACCAGGACTCCAGGAGCTATTGTGGGGGGTCCTCGACCCCTCAAGCTGGTGGCACCTGGGAGAATGTGAAGACTCTGGGAACAAGAGCCGCCAGCCTGTTGAGATTTGTTGAACTTTGTTGGGCGGTTGGATGCTAATGCCGGCTGCAGATCCTCAGCTTTGTCAATAATCATATGCAGGCAGGGTGACCATAGATGGCCTTCATGTGCCTTCATGTGCTTTCATGTGCGCCTTCATGTACCTTGCTTGATGTGGCTTTGCGTGGCCATCTCGGGAGCCATTGTATGTGGTCTAGTCCATCCGGCCCTCGACCAGCCAAGCCAGTGTAACCAAAAAGTTCGGTAGTAAAAGGCAGTGCCATGTCACTTTCTCCGCCGACTTTTGCAAGTCAATTGCACATCGCCCTGCCGAATCCGCGCCACGCGGGGCGAAAAAGGTCGCAATCCGCCTGCTCATATTGCGGCAGCGAGATGCATGATAAGGGGGGAACATAAGAGAAACCAGCGCTGAAACGCAGCTGACTGCCTGCACTTCACGCTTGTCTTGCATTTTTCATGTTGCATCATGCCACGTCAGACCTCTCAAGACCAGGCTGTCTAGTCACCTCTCATCGCAAATGATGGTTGAACCGTACGTTATTGGATTGGGTGAATCCTCAAGGCATCTGCCTCTGCTTCCAGGTGGCTATCCGCTTCGCGAACCGCATTCCTCTCCTGCCCTGAAGGGAACCGCGTGCTTAGATATGGCCATGGCCTCCTTGCCAGTTCCGAGTTAGACATGCGAACCTGCAACTTATCAAGAAAGCTCGACCTGACTCCTCCAATTTCCAACAGGACGTTTTTTAATGAATGTAGAATATCGCCCATTCCCGCACATATACCATCTTTTTTGGTTGAGCCGGGTGAACAAGCCAGGATATCTAGCAACGCATCGGCCATTCGGAATACTTTGAGCTCCTGGGTCCGTCAAGTAAGTAGTCGAATCACTTGAAGAGCGTTTTGAATCACCTACCATTCCATAACCGTGTGCAAAGATTGAATCTGCCGATACAGACGGGAAAAGGCAGAGTAGCTCTCGGGCGATGGTTACTGGCAGGAGCAATGAAAACGCTTGATTTGATGAGTTGCGCGACATTTTGTAGTGTCTCATGGTATACTCCCATATGAGAAGCCTGATCCACTGCCGCGTTACAAACAAATCCACCTGCTGTACTTCGGTGAAGGACGAGTTGAGTGCAAGGGCACAAAGGTCCGACTGAGCAATGGCCACTTTGTCAGGATCCAGGACCGGTCTATGAGACGATGAGGTTTCCATGATATTGCTTTTTAGATGCGAAAAGAGATGGGTGAGAGATGAAAAAGCCCGCGTAATGGAGCCGAATTCGGTATCTGTCTCTTCACATGGTGGCCTTTGGTCGATGGGCACCAGCAACGCCGGAAAGCAGTTTTGGGCGCAAAACGTCCTATACTTTGTCAGTGTGTACCCGTGATCGCACAAGGTCGGGAATCTTACCTTTCCGATATGAATAATATCCAGAATATCCGCAGCTTCAGCGACCCCTCTTTTTGTTCTAGTGATTCATATGTCTCTTGCCGATCAAGCCCCAACCAATGCACCGATGATATCGACTCCCTTAGATATACGGCCGCAGTTCTGATCTTTGATGCATTTGCAAAGTAAATATGGAGGAAGAATGGCGTCAGTATCGATGATAGCTTTTGGCACTCCCGATAGTCGTATTGCTCCCTAATGGTTTGAGCGTCCCTAGCGAATCGGTAGGATGAAATGGTCGCCTCGCACAATTCTGTATGTTCTGGCAGCCGAAGTTGAGCGATAGACGCAGCACACACAGATGCTGCCAAGGCGTACGACTCAAGATCATTGACGTCGAGGATGAGCTTTGCGATCAAGTCGTCGACATCCACGACTGGCCAAACAGGGTACAGCCGATCCCGAAATATCCCCAAGTACTTGCAGTACTCACCAACGGGCAGCCGCCTAGGGCATGTCGGCGCTATGAAATCAAGACTTGAAGCAGCCTCGTTGCTAGATGCTGATGCAGGGCTTGAGCCAGAGCCAGTTAGAGGTCTGGGGGTTACAGAATTTTGCGTCAAGCGGCCGACACCTGGGTGCTCACAGTCAGTGCCAAGGCCTCTAAGGGGACAACAAGTCGAGATGACTCCTAATCGTAGCCTCTAACCTTCTTTTATCTTGCCACATGTCGCCGAGCGTGGGCCTTTGGGGCCTCGTTTGCCTCTGGTACGGAGAGAGGTGCAGTCTAGACCCCGAATCAAACACTCACAACAGGGTCGCTCAGCGTCACACTTTACTCTGCGGAATGAGCATGCATCACAGGAGCTCGAAATTCTCTTCTTCATTGTACAATGTTGCCAGATCGCGGGCAAGTGCGTGCAGACAGTCTCATCGGGAAAATTGAACTAGGCACGGGCTTACATCCTGAAAAAAACGACATCTGGACCCGAAGCACAGTGGGGCAGCCGAGGGCGATGTTTGGCCAGCTACGTACAGAGTCCACGAGCTTTCTGACCTCTGGAACCTGCCGGTCTTTGTCGCCAGGTCCATGTTTCGGCCCATTCTACCGGGACATGGCACAGCATAAAGTCGTATTACGTTGGTAAGTAGGAATCGCGACATACCGAGTACTGCGGTATTCTTGCATCCCGTTGTTCCACAAATGATAACGTTGTAAGAAGAGGTAGGATGACTTCCAGTCACATCGTACAGAATGTCCATTTTGCCCCAGCCTATTGCCTCTGCTGTGTTGAGGGAGCTCCAATTAAAATACCCAGGTAGTTAATCAACAGGGACCAGTAGGAATGCCAAAGCAACGACTCGTATCCAGGCAGCAATGTTTTCGTGCAAAGAATGCTATCCATTGCTCACCAGATTTCGAAAGGTTGAGTATGGTGGGAAACCGCGAAAATTTGTTCATTTAGGAACTGTATATTCCTAGATGTCAACTGGTATCTGTGTACGTATGAGCGATGGACAATCGATCCTGCTGGAGTCTACTTTGTGCGTACAACCTGAAGGGAAGCACCCGTTGCCAGAATTGGTCCAACCGACAGTCGACCACATGCGTGGATTTGCTGCCACGTAGCTGCCCCGCCTGCTTCATCTGATCGACGGCGTGCCTGGCGTTTCCGCCCTTCAAACATGCCAACTGAATGGCTGCATGTGGCACGATGCAAGGGCCTGTGGTCGCTCCTGCCTTCTTGTGCAGCAGTTTTAGTACGACGCACGTGATAGGCCAAGATCGAAAATCCCTTCTGCAAATTTGATGGCGCCCAAGAATTATTTAGCGAAATAACATCTGGTTGCATTACCTGCTCGCCTCTCCTGTATAATCACAGGCAAACAAAGTTGACCCCTCCGAAACTCCTACACACCCTAGCCAGGTCCCCTGGTTTTTTTCTCTTCTGGGTCCCTTCTACACGGGTCGTCAACGGGAACCATAACGGCTCATGAATGCTGAAGGAGCCAATCAATCAGCTCGTCATCTACCCACAGAACATCTTTAGAGCTGCGTCAATCCTGAATTGTACCGTTGACCTTATGTATAGACTGGGTTAGCTGGCTTAAGCCTCGGTCTGCGGCACCTGGGTTTGCTGAGCTCTGGGACCCTGTGCTGCGGAGGAACAAGCGCACCGTGATTTCCTACTCGCTTCCTCCCTTTGCTCCAAGTTTGCTCCAACACACCTTCGTGCGACTGCGATTCTGCGGAAAGTTCCAATTGGTTTTTGGGGGACGGAGATTCCGCAAAAATGTCAAAAGCAACAAGTCTGAACGGCAGTGATAGCGAGTTCGAGTTCATCGAGACGCCCAAGGCCACTCCTCCCTCATTCGAGAAGGAAGAGAATTGCGGTGTTCGCACTACCAAGGTAAGTTTTTAGCGTCAAATTGGTGCAGCACAAACCCCCAGCCACGATACCTCCAAATGCCGGTCCAGGTCATCGGTGTGATCAATGGGCTGTTGTGATCTGATTTATGACAACAATTGTTGCAGCCTATTGGGATTCTTCTCACTCATTGACTGTCCTCCTTGCACATCACACAGCCTCGACTAATCTTTTGGGTTGCAGTACCCTTCCATCAAGAATGCGCCTCTTCCTGCCGATGGCCCAGGCTCCGACTCGTTCAGCAACACTGGTCTCATTACCCTCCTACTCGGAGTACCATACTATTTGAAATGGAAGGTTGGCGGCGGGCTCAAGACTTTCATATTTTTCGCTCTACTCGTCGACCTTCCTCTTCTGGCCGCGTGGTGGCTCGTGATTTCTACGATTAGTCCTCGCCGCAATGAGAAGGCTAAGCTTCCCGGCCGTCCGGTCGAATTCTATCTCGACTTTAAAAAAGAGGCTGATCGCGCCAAGTACCGTGGTTTGAACAAGATCCCAATGGAGACTTTCCATGAATGTACTTTGACGGAGATGTTGATTTCAAGGGCGACTGCCTCGAGATCATGGAATACCGTCATGACTGGGCCAGCTTCCGATTTACCATTGGTCTGATCAAGTTTTTCCTGCTTGGCATGATCCCCGAGCTGATCATGCACACTCGTTCTCAAGGTAAGATCGAGCTGTCTAGACACCTCTGCGTCGACACCCAATATGCTAACTTGCATGTAGATGAGGAGCAGGTCCGTGACCACTACGACCGTGGCGATGATTTCTACGGCTGGTTCCTCGGCCCTCGCATGATTTACACTTCTGGTATCATTTCAGACATTGAGAAAGAAGAGACCCTAGAAGAGCTTCAAGACAATAAGCTCGCCATTGTGTGCGAGAAAATTGGCCTCCAGCCTGGTGAGAGGATGTTGGATATTGGTTGTGGTTGGGGTACCCTCGCACGATTTGCCAGCGAAAACTATGGTGCCCAAGTTACTGGTGTAACTCTTGGCCGCAACCAGACTGCCTGGGGCAACAGTGCTATGCGCAAGGTTGGCATTACAGAGGCTCAGAGCAAGATTCTGTGCATGGATTATCGGGATATCCCTGTACCTGAAGGAGGCTACAACAAGATTACGTGCCTTGAGATGGCTGAACATGTTGGTGTCCGCCACTTCTCCAGCTTTTTGACCCAGGTTTACGACATGCTCGACGACGACGGTGTATTCTTCCTTCAGATTGCCGGTCTCCGGAAGCCCTGGCAGTATGAGGATCTCATTTGGGGTCTGTTCATGAACAAATACGTCTTTCCTGGTGCCGATGCGTCGACTCCCCTGGGCTGGGTTGTCGATAAGCTGGAGGGCTCTGGCTTCGAGATCAAGGGTATCGATACTATCGGTGTTCACTACTCTGCTACCCTCTGGAGATGGTACCGCAACTGGATGGCTAATCGTGAGAAGGTGGAGGCCAAGTACGGCAAGCGATGGTTCCGTGTAAGTCGAGACGCACCGGCAAATAAATGTGAGATTTGAAACTGACGTGAGACCGATTAGATTTGGGAGTACTTTCTTGCCTACTCTACCATCGCCTCGCGACAGGGTACTGCCACCTGCTTCCAGATTACTCTGGTCAAGAATATCAACTCTACTCACCGAGTTGAGGGAATCAACTCGCAATTCGCCTTGTCTGGCGGCCTCAAAAACTTCAAGGGCGACCTCAAGGCCTGGGCTGCCAAGAATAACGTCGCCTCATCCACCGACTTCCATTCCTAAAAGTGCATCGGGGGCTGCACTGCAGCTCTCATGCCGTGTTGTTTGCTAAGAGTCTGATTTAGTTCAGATGAGACGGTTCGGCTGACATTCATGTTTGAATCCTTCCATGAACGTCAAAAACAAATGGCTTCTGGACGCTATTTTGGTTTCGAGGGTGCGGTGTTTTCAGTAACCAAGTTTTTAATATGTGTCGGGCTTGGGAACGTCAACTGGACTTGTTTTGGTGGCCGGGGCAATTTTTAAGTCGTAGAGACTGGATTGAAAAGTAATTAAAAAAAAAGCCACAGACATGGTTCTTAGTCGGCATAGTGTTTGAATTAAGCCACCCTGTGCTATGCTGCCCAAGTCATGGCAAGATGGTGATATTTTAGCACATGTGCCGTGATGCCATATTAGTCTCTTCTAACACATTCTGTGTTGCGGTCTCACCGTTTAGCCCAGGCATATTGCGACCAAAGTCTCCTTACAAATCATCTTGCCTATTCAATAAATCATCTAATCACTGTCATCGAGCATATTCCTCTACCCCAGCTGCCCTCTCTGTGGGGATCCTGGGCTACTGGTAGTCCGGCCTGCCGGGATCAAATTGCAGTTGGCACCGTGGGGCCTCGGACAACTCAACTCAACCGGCCGAGTCAACACACCCGTCACACACGCAGCGTCTTCAACATATATACTTTATCATCTCACCAACCAACACCAAACTCATAAAAGAAAGCACAACCCGCCAAAATGAAACGCCTACCAAAACACCCATCATTACCATCACTCACCATGCGCCGTGTGCTCCCCCAAAAACGGCCCTTCTCACCCTCATCCTCCCCCATCGCCAACGACCTGCAAAGCCGTCCGCCCAAGCTCATCCCCGACTACCTCAGTCCCATGCCCTCGCACCTCCTCGCCACAACTCTATGCGACCTCCTGCACGCCCCGACCCCCTCGTCACCCACGATACAATCGCCCCCCGAGGTCCTCCCCGAAGGCCACCACCTAGTCTACTTCCCGATCCAAACGGCGCCGTCAAAACTGGCCCCTGACGGCGCAGACCTCGACCATTCCCCCGGGCCAGAGTTCCCGCGCCGAATGTGGGCCGGCGGCGAGGTAAGTTTCCACAAAGGGTGGAGGGAGGGCCTCATCATGGACGGGCGGCCGTGGCGCTGCAAAGAGGAAATAGGGGACGTGAGAGTCGAGGGAGACGAGGGGCAGGAGAAGGTATTCGTAGATGTGTGGAGGAGGTACGGCGCCCAGCGGGAGTGGGACATTGAAGAGCGGCGGACGCTGGTGTTTATGAGGAACACCGACGGCCAGCTGGCTTCTGCCCCTCGGCGAGCCACGACATGTGAGTCCCCAGAGGGTCATGTGTCCTCTGTGAACGAATTATTGATGGTATTTTTTTTATAGTTCCCCATGCGGCAAGTTGGTCGGCAAAGCTTGTCCCAACGCCAACGCACCTGTTTCACTTCTCGGCGCTGACGTTCAACGCGCACTCTATTCACATTGATCCTTTGTATGCGCGGTCTACCGACGGCCATAGGGATTTACTTGTGCACGGGCCGCTGACGCTGGCGCTCATGCTGAGCGTGCTGGGGGGCGGCGTGCAGCGGATATCGTACAGGAACCACGCGCCGCTCTATGTTAACGAGCAGATGAGGGTTTGCGTGCGGAAGCCGGACAACGGGGCCAGCTGGGATGTCTGGGTTGAAGGGCCAGAGGGGGGGTTAGCTGTTCGGGGGAAGGCGGTGATGGATACGTAGATGTGTATTACTCGGGGCTTTTTACGCATTCAGCGAAGACATGTTGGATCTATTCAAGACAAAACTACCACTTTCCCATGCCCTGTATGATACAAAACGCCAATTCTCCGAGATATAACGCGATGAAAAGGGGGGGGGGGAAATGTCTAGTCTGCCCAGCCGAATACTTCACTGATGGAGAGTGTATTGCTCCTCAGCCCCGTCAGCGTCACCAACAAGACGACCAAGTCGAGCACCACCAGCAAGACCGCCGCCATCATGTACCGCGGGCAAAACACCCGATACAGCATCAGGTGTCTCCGCAGCCAGCCCGCCCAGCTCATTGTCGTCAACGTCTCGACGGCATAGTAGGCAATAAATACGCCGAGGCTGCGGGTGACTGTCTCCAATACGCCCTTCTGCTTCGGCCCGACCTTCCATACCGCAAGGAGGGGAACACATACGGCGGCGAGGATCTGGCCACCGAATGTGTTGAGGGTGACGACGATGGGAGTCCACGGGTAGCGGATGGTGAAGAGGGGAATGAAGGCACTGTCCCACTGGATGCTGGACAGGACGGCTTGGTGACCGGTTTTGAAGTAGTAGAAATTTCCGAGGATGGCGAGCATAACAGGGCCAATGGTTTCGTTTCTAAGGTTGTTGAGGTCGACGACTTCAGCGAGCGATAGGATCTGCCACATCATCAGGGCGAGGGCTCCGGAACCCATGGGCTTGGTTAGAAGGAGACAAGCGGCAAGTATGTTGATGGGCAGGAGAAGATAGCGGGAGCCCAGAGCGTTGCTGTATCCGAGGATGGCGACTCGTGCCTGGCCTGTTCTCGAAGCCGTCGAGACGATGGAAACGCTGGGCGGCGCCCAAATGAACGCTGTTGTGCCCGCGACCAGGGAGAGTGCGAGAATGGTCTGGGCCAAGTAAACGCCAACATTTTTGAGCGTTCCTTCGGATAGCTTACCAGCGAGCCACCGACCGTTGTTTGCGGCGTCAATGGTCCAGTAAATGGCAGACATGAACAGTCCGACACGAAACACGTATCCGATCCAAGTGGGCGCCAGGCCTTCGTATGATCTAGTAGGTGTAAGGAAAGATTTAATGACTGAAGGGAGAGCAATGAAAACAGTAAAAGGAACGATCAGCTGCCAGGGGGACACTGTCGAGGTGCCTGAGGCGTAGTATGTCGACACGCAAAAGGGCATTTGCTCCTCGCGGCAGAGCTTGGAATAGGACGCAAGGCGGCCGAGAAGGATAAATACGACCGAATGGTAGATGGCCATTGTGCGGTCTACCTTGGACTCGAGACGGAACGCAGAAATTGCCGATGTGAGACCAAAAGTCGCGACAAAGAAGAGGAGAATCTGGTCCTCCCAGATGGTATACGAGTTGGATGCGAAACCAATGGAATGGCTGAGAGTAAACACCACAGAGAGCCAACCCCAAAAAGTCTTGGGGAGGAGGTTCGTGATTGTCTTCCCGCTCTCAAGGAGCGAGGAGCCAACGGCGGTCATCATGAGAACCACAACGAGAGTGGCTAGTCGGTCCATCGGTTGCTGTCTATAAAGACCGGCGGCAATCAAGGTGCCGATAATAAAGAGAAAGCGGGCATCCCACATGCCACGAAGCATATTCCTATGATAGAATTGATCAACATGAGGTTCGGCTTCGCCCTTGAAGTCCAGGACCTCCAATTTCTTCTCCGCATAGTCCAGTTCGACGTCATTCATCACGGCGAATTCGTCTTCCTCAGTTCTAGAGGAGTAGAGTACAAGAAGCACAACGCCGATTGCCGCGACAATGACGCCGAAAATCATGCGAGGAACATCAAACCGGGCCCAGAGATCTTTGCATACGCTGAGAGTCTCCTCCTGGAACCTGATGTAGGCTTTATAAGCATCTTGGTGAGAGTTGCTCCGCACCGCGTTGGCTTCTGTCCACAGGCCAGCGGGAGAATTGGCATCTGTGCTGTGCGACATTCCACGAGCCTCAAAATACGACTTTTGGTATCTCTCTATCCCAGCAGATGCCATGCGAGACACGGCCGCGAGATTTGCCCAGTCATTGCCATTGGGACCAGCGAAAGCTTCTTCGATAGGGCGACCTAGATTATTGTATGGTATGGGGATGCCCAACAGAAGCGAAAGCGTCGGCACCAAATCGATTTGATTGACGGGTCTAATCTTGGCCGTGGCAGGAGGTGTTGCATGTTGCGGCAATGTTCGTCCAAAAACCGGCGTCTTTGAGTACATCCATAGCGCAGCCTCCACTTCATCGTCGCTTTCACCACCATGGTCACCTTTGGCATCCATTCCATGATCGCCCATGACGACTAACAGTGTATCGTCGTCAATGGCAGCGGCAAGGTCGCGAATAAATCTATCCATCTGCTTCAACTTGTCATTCATTTGCTTGTGGTTTGGACCAAAGCGGTGACCAGCGTGGTCAACACCCAAACAATGTCCGATGAGCAAGTCCCACTGATCCTTTTTGCCGGGCTCCATCAACGGGAAGATATTGCTAATCACTCCATTGTCAACGGTATGCAGATCCGGGACGTTGAAACTAGGGTAGGCCTTGCTGATATTTGGTTCAAAGTACCCTGGGAACAGATCCCACCAAGTATCATCTCCCAGATGCGCAATCTTCTTACCAGCATTCTTAAGCTGCATAAGAATATTGTCCTCATCGATCGCCGACCCCGCGAAATTGCTACCTGCGTCAATAAACGTAGGTAGGGTGCCGGTCGTCAGTCCCTTCAATCGCTGCAGCGTCGTGGTCGGGGGGTCGGCAATGAAGGGTCGCAGGAACGCATTGCGAGGTGACTTGACGGCCGTTTCGTATAAAAATGGGAACGCATTATGAAATTCCTGCTGCTTGGCAGGATCCTCTGGGACCGTAAAGTCGTAGCGCAGAGCGTCGATGATGACCACTACGGCGCGATCGAAAGTCTTGGGATGCCAGCAGCCTTTGCGAATATCCAAGGGCGCCAGTTTACTCTCAATGGGAGGGATCGTGCAATTTGACTTATCCTCCAGCACCAGTCGAGTCAACAGAAAGCCACTTGTGAACAACCAAATGCCAACAGCATGGATCACCAGCAACCACGTCCAAAAGGCGATGGTCCACCACCACCGTTTCTCGTACGACTTTTGCCGCCGCTCATTCAGCCTCTCGCGCTGTCGTTCTAGGGCTTGCGCAGCTTCTCGCTGGCTTGGCTGACCAAGCGCCTCGGCTTCGGCATCGTTGGCTGCTTGTATGCGCTTCGCTCTGGCCCATTGTTCCGCAATTGCTTTGTAGTCGGTCTGGGGGGGTTGCGGCGCGGACGGCGATGGTGAAGACGACTGCGGCGTGGCCCTTGCCTTGGACTTGGGACTCCGTCGCGGCATCTTGGTCTATTGGCTTCCGCGCGTCAATCCCATGGCCATTGGCGGCCCCGAAGCTCTGGCAGACGTATGGAAGAAGAAAGGAGAAGTTGGCGAGGACCGAGGACAGCTGCTCATCAGGGACACAGAGTTTGTCTGTGGAGCTTGAAGGGTAATAACCTGCAATCCCAGTGGCGCCGGCCATCTTCAGCCCAGGGAGTTGGTTGGAGTGGAGCGTGGTCGACCCATCAGCGACTTGACCCTGACGCTCCGTGTCTGGCGCATTTTTGACATGGATTTTCTCACTATGAAGATCAAGCTGGAGATCCACAGCCTGACCAGTCAGAGCCGGTCGATGTCGCAGACTCACAGCTAAGGGCATGAGTGCATGCTGGTTGCACCTTCCTGGCCAACGTCAAAGAGGATGCGTGAAACTGGTTTTCTTTTCGGATCTAGTTCTAGTTCATTCATAACATGTCATCCCATTACTTGGTCTCAAATTACATGCCATTCCGTCTCAGGTCCCAACTTCCCATGCAACTGCCTCAAACAGACGCCAGCGTGGAACACCGTCGTGGCATCACACTCGCCCAAGTCTAGCACATATATACTCTGCAGCTTGCTAAATACAGGAAGATAAGCAATAGGCATCATTCTGCACCCGAAAAAGCGCCCACAATATATACACATTTGCGCTAATTTGCAGCCACATCGCAAAAGAAACCCCATGCCTCGTTCAAGGGCGCAATCAAATCAAACCAACCGATGCATCATGATCCCCAAAACACGGCGTATGAATTATTCATCGTCAAGAATGAATCCAGTTCATCTTTAATCAAACATATCCAGCTCCGATGGCCGGGCACTACCAGCTCCTCGCCGTTCAAGTCGACGTCGGCGTCTTCTATCTTCTGCAGCCGCCGAGTCGCTGCCTTTGCCAGGGCCACTTGGTGAGGGAGTCATTTGGCTCCATGTGGCATGGCTGCCCGGGCTTCCCAGGCTAGACATCGTTTCGTGAGCCATTGGAGAGGATCCCGATGGCCCCGGCTGCGGTTGCCCGGAGTAGTATGCTGAGTCCTTGTTTTTCCTTGATCCCTTGGCAAAGGCAGGGTTGGGGGGAGACAACGGACCGAGCTGGTCCTCCTGTGCCTCCGCCCTTCGTTCAGCTGATCGCTCTGCTCTTCTCTGGCTCGAGTCTCGTCTGTAACCACGGCCATAGCTAGGTGATTCCAAGCCTGAGACGCTGCTGTCGGAGCCTGCTCGGCTTCTCTGCCCTCCGGCAGCTCTTTGTTCTTCTTCAGTCAACCGACGCAAGGTGACATTTCTATCCCTGTCGTCGTGCATCTTTACTTTAACGCTGACAGGCTGGCTAGAGGGTGATCCGTATCGATCTCTCTCTGACGCAGCAAGTCCGCCTGCTCTAGCTGCGGCGGCGGCGGCTGCTCGCTCTCCAGCCCGCCTCCGCCGCTCAGATGGTCGCCTCTGGGGCCGGCTATCGATAGACGACAGTTGCGACTGTGACTCGGCTTCTGAATGTAAAACGCCCCGAGGGTCTGGTGGCATGGGCGGCATGGAAACAGATCCACTTCTGGCGCGTGATCGTGACCGTGATCTAGAATGGCCGCCAGGTCCTGGGACTGGAACGATTGGAGGGGCGGTCCCAGTTTGTGTTGAAGTTGGGCCAGCAGTGTATGAGCTTCCTACTGGTCGTGTATCGAACGACGACTCCGTCAGATCTGTCATCTCTGATAAGGCTGAAGATCCAGGATGTCCAGTGCCTCGCCTCACTGGAGGAGGCCGTCGAGAGTTCCGTCGAGAAGGAGACGGGTATCCATCGCCAGTAAACCGAGAGCCAGAAACCCCAGATCTCATGTCTTCCTCGTCGCGATATCTCTCTTCTTCTTTCCTGGCTCGTCTATCGGCAAGCTTCTTAGCAAACCAACCCATTCCCAGGCCTCCAAGGATACCTTTGGCCAAGCCGCCTCCGTGCCGGTCATCTCGTGGTCGTCGTGATGGGCTCACATATGACGAATAGTCGGAGTCTTCGTAATCACCACGGCCGCGGGAATGAAGTGGTTGAGGTGTCACCGGTCGTCCTGGACCACCTCTGCCCGGAGGGTTTGCTGAGGGGGGCAATAGTGATGTCTGCGTTTCATCTGGTCGTCGCGGATAGTCCGTATAATCACTACTAAATTCGCTCAGGGTGGTGCCGTCTCCTCGTCCAGACCTATGCCGGCGAGGCGTTTCGGTTGAAACAGCAGAGTACTCCTCATCTCGTCTGTCATTTCGTCGACTCATCATGCCAGAAACCAGCTTTCCAGCACCAATAGCACCGGCTGTGGTTGCTAACACTTCCATGACCCCGCCGCCACTCCTCCTGGGCGGCTCGGAATACTTTTCGCTGATATAACTTTCTGAACCCCGTCGCGAAGGAAGGACTTCGGGACCACGGCTGCTAATGAAGGAACGTGATCTGCTGGGACTGAGGTCTCGCTCCTTGTTCTGATTCCGTCGGCGCAACAAGGCCCAAATACCCGCACCAGCAGCAAGGGGACCGAGCCACTTCATCCAATTGCTCCGTTCATGTCTTGGCCCTTGCGAGAAGTATTCAGACTCGGTCACCCGCGTGTGGCCCGCTTCAGATCGAGCCCCGCCATGGTACATTTCCCGGCGACCCTCGGCTCGATAGCTCAAAATGAAGTACACCAAGAATAGGAAGCTCATCCAGAGGGTGTATAGAATAAATAAGTACTTGGGTGATCCATATAGTGTAAGGCCCAAGGGGACCTGGACGATGCCCAGAAGAGCAATTGCTCTGCCGGACCACTGATGGATTGTAATGCGAAGCGACCTGATTTTGGTGATATGGCGTACCAGTCGACCTCCAACAAGCTGCAGAATGAATAAGACGAAAATAGCAACGCCAATGCCATGGTGGGGGTTTGTTAAATTCCGCTCCGGACCGACAGCGAAGAAACCCAAGATAAAAACGGCTAGAAGCATCAGTCCAGAGAAGACCTGGAGCTGTGCATGGTATACGACTGCGAAACCCGGCTCTCGCGAGTAGAACCTGGCTAACATGACCGAGACGGGGACAAAAAGGAGAAAAATGAGGGCTCCCATAATGCCGTGGGCTAAGACGACTCGATGGTATTGAGGAAGAGTAGCGAAACGATTACCCATGCCTGCAGGAGCAAGTTAGTTGCACGGCAACGAGGAAGCAAATGAAGCCGGTCAGGGCATCGTACCATTGTACCGCATCGTATCGAAATTGACGCCCTGGAGATTAGGAAGCAGATAGGTATTTTTTGAAAACTCCCATGTTCCATCTCCAACAGTCATGGTGCCCGATCCATAGCTCGCCGAGCCAGGCGCAGAGAACTGGTCTCCTTGGGGCGCCATCACGGCAGCGGCGGCAACGCGGGCCGCAATTATTTACTGAGCAAAATTGTCCTCTTTGCTGGTGATCTCGGAACAGGCCGTTTTCTGCCATCCGCCTGGGGGGGATCAACGAAGTCGACGGGTCGAAAAGCGTCAAAGGAATGCGGCAACGCCCGAGCCCGGGGTGGTGGTCGATTATCTGGAATGCGGCAGGATATGTAAGTCGGACACCGCTTGTTTTGAGCGGACCCTGGAAACGGGCTCGAAAAATCGTTTGGGCAGAGGAGAAAATGGATACTGGAAGATGATGTTTGGTTGGAGTGTATGGATGGGAGCACGAAAGATTCACAAGGCATGCAGGAGAAAAAGAGAAACATACATGCGACTCAGCCAGTCCGAGATGGCCAAGACTATTGATGCAACACCGAGCACATGGGAGGCAGCTTGAGCTTTTTTTCCCTGCCCAACTACGCTGCTGGTCCCTGGAGCTGCGTGGTTGCGCGGGGTGACGACGCAGATCTTGGCCAGTCTACCAATGGGAGGCACGTATTGGGTCGGGAGCGGGGCGGTGTGTTGGCACGCCCCACTGGCCTAAAAAGGCAATCCATGTAAATATCTACTTTGTAGATTATCTAGGCGCAGGATGATGTGAAGAATTGAGTGTAAATGGGAGAGTTCTTGACCCAGGTAAATCTCATACGTAGTATTTTGCTGATTTTTGGAGCTCGGAAGCAATCTGCTAGTGGTCACTTCAACAATACTAGCTTCGGTACTAGCCGGGAATGCGAGCCATTGAAATGGCAATTTAATTGTCAAACGCGAGGGTTCCATTTACGCAGAACCTACTCCGTATCGTTGACTGTTTCCAAGAAAATAAAGTCAAAATTGTTTATAATAATACTATTTTAATGTCGCGGGTATCGAGCGTATCTAGCCTTGTAAAAGCTGTAAACCTCACTTCAAACTACAACATGCAAGCCCTCATATTCTCTCTTGCAACTTCTTTCTCACCCCATTCATTATATCCATATCGTTACAAGTGCGAATGAAATTCCATCACGGATGTACATAGTACACCACGCAACTTATAATTTCGCACCCCCCAGTCCTCCCATCATGGCCAGCTCCAGTCTCACTGCCAAGTCGGCGATAATCTCCTCGCTTCCACCACCAACAACCTGCAACAAAAGTTAGCCATGCCACTTGGCAAACAAACCACCATTCTCCCCCCCCCCCCCCCC